TCCTCGGCCGACACAGCAGTTGGTGCAGCAGAACCTCTGACAGAGCTTTCCAGCTGAGGAACCAAAATGTGGGTTGCCCTGAAGTATCATGTCGCTTGATTGAACCATTCTAAACAGTACCTCCAAAACCAGTCGGCACGACGCTTTCGAGGTGTGAGCCTTTTCCCCAGCTTTCTGCAGCATGACAGGGTCGCTCGCACCTTCAGAAAGTGCATCACTAGGCGCCCCGGCGCCACTGCATGGTGAGCTTTTCGTGCATCAGCCGTGTGGCTCTCACGGCGTTGGCCTTGCTTTGATACATGAGGCTGAGGGATCCTGAGGAACATCCATAGCTAGCGAAGAGCAGCTCGGGGATCTGTCTAGAGCAAGGCTAAAGCTCTGAAAGCGTCGACGCAATGCTCGAGTTCCTGTAGCAATCAGTCGCGGTCTGACACTGGATCACCTGAAGTGCTTGAAGAAACTGCTTTCGGAAAGGTACCAGCGATAGAAACCAAGTTTATCAGTAAGTTGCACGAGTCTGTCACAAGGTCTCGTGGCGAGACTCATCAAGTGCTGCTGCCCTCTTAGGCTGCAAAAACCTATGGCACCCAACCCTTCCTGTGGTCCGCCAAAGCAACCAGAACCAGCATCAGCGCCTGTTACAAGAACACCCTGATTGCCTATACTTGTGCAGAAACACCTTTACGTCCACACCCTGAACCCTCCCCAAGTTACTGAACCCTATAACTTTTAAAGCTCACCCAGCTCCGGGCCCAGATGTGCGGAGCCAACTTGTTGCAAGACTCGGCGCGCTGCAGCCGGCCTCGTATCGTGCGTATCTAGAACTGTGTGAAACATCTGAGGAATAAGAGTAGCTAGCGACACAGAACATACACACTATGTAGAGCAATGGCACTTCTCTGAGCATGCCTCCCCATTCCGGGCTCTGGATGAATTGGAGCTTTTGATTTGGCATGCGTGTTGGACCAAAGTGTCGTCGGCGCCTGTTCACGAAGAAGCCATCTCGAAGCCCGTCACGGAACATTTCCAAGACATAAACAAGAACTGAAATCCCGGCAACTCCCCTTGCGACAAAGATGAGCCTCTTTCATCTCTGCATGAAACCTTTTCCCTAAACCCGGACGCACGCAGCAACAAGGCCAACGAGGCCCCGACCCTCGGACATCTGGAAGAGGTCCTCTCGCAAGCTGCGCATGGTTCTACTCTATAGGGGCCTTAACAATTAGAATAGGGTTTTTGGGCGCATTAACTATACATAAAATAAGGAACCCCCGAAATAGTATAGGTAATTTTTTAGGCCCCTATATTAGATGCCGGCCGCAGCTGTGGGCGTATAGCCATGGAGCCTCGTTCCTCTCGGACTTCTTAGAAGAGCTTCGACTTGGAATCTTTGGGTCTGCGGCTGGCTACACCACTGCCTTCCGCTGTGTCTGCAATACCCTGATTGCTGGAAGGATTGGGGAGCGATAAATGGCAACTTGATGTGTCCAACTCCTGCCAGCAAGAGACACCCTTGCGGCCATCAACAGGTTGGAGGAGACTGTTACAGCTGGTGTCTTTGCTTGAGTAAGTCGTCTTCGTGGTGGAGGCTTGTAGCAGGCCCAATCCTCTAAACAGCAAAACGCCTCAAATTCCGAACACAAACCCTCAACACCTCGTGGCAATATAGAACATCCGCGATCATCCGCGCATATCAACAAATCATACACTATCCTCAAACCCCAAAACTAAACCCTAGTCAGAGACTCCTATGCAACAACGGTTACTAAATTTCGCCTTCACGAAGCCGGAGGCGACCTCTACCTCCGCGAACGCAGCGCCTCTGGAGACTCGGTATATATGTATGTATTACAAACACTACAAACAGTGTCCTGAAATCCTGGGTCCCAGGGTACCAAGAAAAGTTACAGCAGCCCCTGTCGGCTAAAACCCTAAACCCTACAAACTCTTAACCTTGACAACCTTAAGCACCATGCTCTAAACCATGAACCCCTAGAAATTTCGAGTGGTGTTGCGGTGTTACATTATTGGGTAACGGCACACGGTCCGACAAGATCATCTTCAGCCGGCTTCACCCTGAAACAACGGAAACTCAACCTCCCAGACAAGCCTTTAGTTTTTCGCCTTTTGTGCCGATCCTTGTTCCGTCCGCAGGTAGCTAGGTTAGAAAGGCCATGGTGGCTTACCGTTCAGTTTTAATCGTGTCATCGCCGCTCCTCAGGTCTCGCTTTGTTTAGAACGGCAGGTTGGATGAGGCATTAGCATGTTGAGCTTCTCAATTCACAACGAACAAGACAGGTTGAATGACACCTCGTATCAAACATACACCCGAAACAGCACTAATCTATCACTCCCACATAAAACTCATTAGTGCTTAGGGTTTAGGGCTTTCTCAACCTCTTGGAACAACTCCACTAAACCCAAAGTCCTATAATCCCACAGGACTGGTGTCGACCTGTCCTCTCCAAGCAGTTGACGTAGCAGTTGATGTTTTTTTCCCTCCTACCTAGCAAGGACGAAGCCCGCATTGCAGGGTGTCTCGGTTGGAACAGTTGACAACAGCCTGAGGTCCTGTGCTTCGAGCCTCGGCTAATTTGTTTCGTGGCATTGTTTAGGGTTTAGGGTTTAGGAACAACCACAACAAGCCACAAGCCCCACAACAATCCTCCCGCTACCAGCGAAAATCGCCTGCAACCAAATGCACAACTAGGTTGCTCTTGCAAGCCCTCTACAGAGTACGTGTTTTCCTCTGAGGAATCTACTACATCTACGAAAACTGCAACACACATTCTCAGGAAAGACACAGGTTTAACTCCCAAGAGCCAGCGCCCCTAACAGCGGGGCTCCGGGCTCAGCTCCTGCATGATCCGGGTAGCTGCGCCCATGGCCTGGCCGAGTAGACTTGGGAGTACGAGGGCCTCTAGAGGCTAGGCTTTACGGCTGTACGGATTTGGGGTGGAATGTTTCAGACCGACACATAAACTTTCAATGCAACATCGAAGAAGGAAGTCTGAGAAGCTGAGAAAGTCCATGTCGGGTTATAGGCTCTATGCAGAAAACGAAAGGCCGATCTGCAACCGACAGTGGAATGTAAGAGTAACTCAACGCTTGAAGTCACGCAGCTCCAGGGCTCTGGTCTGCTGCCCTTGAATAGGGCCCTGAAGCCCTGACATGAAACCCTGCTCCATGACAATGTAGAGCTGATCGCACAAGGTTCAAGAAACAGTGTTTCGGCTCTGAGGAAGCGAAGATGCATTAAGTCAGTAGGATACGAAGGCCGGGATGCATTTAAGTGTTGCTGCTTGTTTCGCCGGGATGCCGAGTGTGTTCATGCCAGGTTGTCGCCAGACTGGTTCGGACCACGCCTCTTTAACATATCTTTCAATTTACTTTCTGCAAGATGACATCGAACTCTGACCATTCGGATCTCTCTTTGCTTGTGAAGCCGCAAATTGTGGGATCTGTTGCGCCTGAGACATCTACCACTCGCGGCCGTGAAGTGGTAAAAAAGTCGCAACCCAAAACCCAATGTTACACCTGTGGCACCTCATTGCAGAATCAACATCAAAGGAAGGCTATCAAAGTAAGCTAGCTATAGCCATTCTAGATCCCGCAACCCCTGTTCAGCCTGCTTCACTTGCATCGGCTCCTCGGCATTCATGGCCTGAGTCCAGGCCTTCGCTGTGTAAACTGGTGCTGGGTTGCGCTTTAAACCTTTTGAAAACTACTTCTGAGTAGGTTCCCTTTAGAAGGAAATAAGGGAAATTAAAAATTACCCCAAAGCACAAGCCAGGGGTGTCTCATCTACTTTGAGGGCTCTTGCCTCACAGCCCCAACCGCTGGTTCGCTCAACACCTCCACCGAAACGAAGAGAAAGCACGACCGGTCTGCATTGATGAGACAATCGCACAAGAAGAACACCACATTGGTTTTTTGCCTTTTGGAGCTGGCTTCGCGTTCTGGCCTTGTGCCTTTTTGGTGGGCCCCCGTTGTACCACTCTCTGACGAAAAGAAGAAGATGACAACACAGCCAAATCCGAAAAGCAAACAACGAGCTCCTGGGAAAGTCTTGCCCTCTTCTCGGTATGGCAGGCTATGGCAATTCAGTCACCCGCTAAAGGTGCCCCAATCTCTCCTGTGGCGATGGTCGGACCGGAGACGACAACTACTTTACTGTCACTGCACTGTCAAGTCCCAATTGAGGCTGAACTCAACGACTACCTTAAGCCCAAATAGCCTATTTCTACGAACTTGTATCAGGAAACCATAATGAGGAATCCTAACAAAAGGTAAGTTACTTATATTATAAGGAACTCATAATATGGAACCCCAAAACATGCCGGTTTCTGAAAACCCTAGACCCTAACCCTAAACCCTAGGATCCAGGTAAGCCCTATAAGCCTTCAACCGGCTCTAATGGACTAGGACCGACCCCTGGGGCTTTTGAGCTCGTCTGAAAGTGCCGGGGGCTCAGAATATCCGAGACTATACCGATACTAGAACAAAACCATGTATATATATATATATATATATATATACACACAATATAGAGAGATCTGTTGAGAGAGAGAGAGAGAGAGTGATACTGTAGTGAGACTGTAGTGCGGCTTGGGCATGGTTCTGGGCCCGCTGCGAAGCTTGCTTTGTCCTTGAATGTGTCCTCAGATCTGTACTTGAAGACCAGTGCTCGAGAGCAGAGACGAGCTGGCCAACGGCCACAAGTAAGTCCATGAGTCATGAAGGCTGCTACATGTTCTGTGTACGGAAATGTACTGAAAGTATATGATCCAAACGATGCACGGCATCTCCCATCAGACCGTGACCACGGCAGGGATAGTATCCATGCATGCATGCCTGCTGTGTAGCTTCCACTGGCGAACGACACTACACAAATCAAAGCCCACTAAGCATAGTCAGGAGAAGTCTTCAGCAGCACGTGCGTCGGACACCCCTTGATCAGTCCTACAAGCATGCATCCTGAATAGGGATCTCACCAAGGC